TGCAAGCTCCGATCGGCAACTCATACCAGCGCTGTGGCTTGTTGCTTGCTGCTGTTGCAGTTGTTGTTGCTGTTCCTGTTGTGAGTCCTGCATCGAACAAGTCCTGCGCACAGACGCACACAGGCATATACATGAACAGCTGCACGCGCACGCACACACACAAATGCATCGACACATCAACACGAGCGTGTGACGTTTGAAGTGCGCTTTTGTTGTTGTTGCTGTTGCTCTGCTGCTGCTGCCGCTTGCTCTGCCTCTGCCTCTGCCTCTGCTTCTGCCGCCGCATCTCCTGTACAGTTGTTGTTCCAATTAAAAAAATTTTTCCCTAGTTTCGCGCGCACAATGCGAGCTTGCAATCTATGAGCTATGCAACGGCAACGGCTACGAGCAAATATTTTCTGGTTTTATTTCGCTGCTGCTGTTGCTATTGCTGCTGTGCTCATTTCTGTGTGAAGCCTGGACCTTGTGGGCGTAACACTATATGTGTGTGTGTGTTCTACATATATCCTTGCTGGCATTGCACTGGCTGTTGCTGCTGCAACTCTGCTGCTGTTGTGTTGCGGGTTTTTGGTACAATTTGCCTTCTTATTTCACTTTTTTTTTTGTTGCTGCTGGCAGCCTTTGTGAAGGGCTGCTGGGGCACAGCGAGTCACAGTTCTGGCACTGGCAGCTCTCCACGTTCCCATCCTGCTCCTGTTTCCGTGGTTGGCTCTATATGTCAGTTGATTTCATTTCACTTTTTTTTGTTACTCGCCAAACTATTAGTTGGAGCTTGTGTGCATTTTTGCTGCCTCTGCTTTTTTGGCAATGTTGTTGCTGCTTTTGTTGTTGTTGTTAGATGCCTTTTGATGCCAGTGAATGCGAGCGTGGATGCGGATGTGGATATGGATGGGGATGGGGATGTGAGTGGGCAGGGGGATTTGGCTTTGGTGTGGCACTTCGGGCGGCGAAAAAAGGCGATCAAAAACCTTGACAGTTGCATTGTTGAATGGCGTGGGAATGGGAATGGGAATGGGTAGAGCAGATGTCAGTGAAGGAAGGATGGTAGTAAGGCATGAAGGGAGGGAGGGAGGTAGGGAGGTAAAAAGGTAGGGCAGCGCAAACCACGTTCTCGCTTATTTGCATTGCGTAATGGAAAATTGTGAAACGCAACCCTTATCCTAATGCTTATCCTGGTGCGCACAGGAACACTGACCTGTCCTACACACGAAAATCACACAAAGTAAATACAGAAGGCACACACGCACACCCAGGCACACACAGGCCAAGACGAAGCGTCGAAATTGCTCGTAAAGTTACATCTGCACAAACACAAGACGCAGCCGGCGCTGGTTGTGGGTCGAGGCAGTGAGGCAGGCCTTGTGCAACTGCAACTGCTGCTGGCTGCCTTCGTATTGGTCTGTGGCAGTTTTGCCTTTGACTTTGCCACTTTTTGCCGTTTGATTGCGCTGCAAAAGTATCCGCAAGTTTTGCTGCAAGTTGTGCGTGCAACAAAGTTACTTAAGCTCTTCGTCTCTCTGCTGCTTGCCAGTGTGTGTGTGTGTGTGTGTGTATGTGTGTGTCCTTTGCCAGGCAACAAAGGACATTCACATTGCAGCAGCAGCAGCAGCGGCAACAACAACAACAGCAGCAGCAGATAAAGTATCTGACAGTTGCAGCAGCGTATTTGAAAAATGAAAGAATGCGCGCGCGAAAAATGCAAAAAACGAAGTGCAGCACGTGAAGCTGCAAGCAAAGACGAATATGGAATACACTATCGAAGCATTTGTTAGCTTAAGTATATACTGATCATATATTTCCAGTATTAAGCTCTCAGCTCACTTAGGTCAAACGCAATCGTCAACAACCTGCTCTAGTGTAACAAACTGTCTGACTAGCTGATGGACTCTTCAAAGTAAGAGCAACAGCAAACAGCAGGCGATGGCAACACTTTACCGCAAGCAGCAGGCAACACCAGTGCCAGCTACAACAACAACAACAAAAAGGAGCAAAAGTTCTGACAGCATTGCTGTAGCTGATAACTGAAGCTCAAGTTGAATGCACGCGAGTCATTCGGCCCGTCATCAAGGACCTAACCACTGTATCTGTGTATGTGTGTATGTGTATCTGTGTGTGTGTGTCCTGCAAGCAGCTCAGCTCGCGAGCTGCTGATGCTGCTGCTGCTGCTATCGCAAAAAAGAAGAGATCTTTCAGCTACGAAACTGCGGCACAAATGCACGTAATACGAGTAACACAAGCCAAATGCATTAACAACCAACAACAACAACTCTCACACACAACTAACACAAACACACACAGACACACAAAACGCACACATGTTTACTTTTTTATTTGTTCCATTACAGCCCTGTGCTGCTGCTGCTGCCGTTGTTGTTGTTGCTGTTGTTGTTGCTGTTGCTGTTGCTGTCGTACGAGTTTTGAGTTTTCCGAAATCATGAAAGGAGCAGATGTTAAATTTTTATACACAACGCAGCGGCTGCGTTCGCTGCCAGCGTCGACTGCGCAGTTGCTGCTGCTGCCTCTGCTGCTGCATTATTATTGCCCGCTGCTGCTGCTGCTGTTGTTGTTGTTGCTGCTGTTGCTGTTGTTGCTTCCTTTGCTCTGCTCGTTGCCAGGCAGCCGCAGCCGTTTTTGCTTTGCCACAAACTTCAGCTGCTCCTCATTGGACCTAAACTTGGACCTGGACTTGGTTTTGGACCGAGTCTCTGTGTGTAGATGCTGCTGACCACAGTCAGTGCGCTTTAGCTCTGCTTTACATTTGCTGTTGCAGCTGAATTTCGACTCTGAGCTGCATTTTATATAGTTCGAATTGTGAAAATGTTTTTAATTGTTGTTATTTGTTGCCTCGTCCTTTTTATCCATTACCTGATTTGTCAATGTCGTCGTGTACCTGGCCTTTACCTGGCTCTGTAACTGCTGGCCCGACACGACGCTCTGCTGCGTATTGGAACAATAGTTTTCCATTTCGTGATGCTAATCATTGCTAAAACTCACTGCAAACAGCACACACAGACACATACGCACACGAACACAGCAGACATTAACCCTCACACACACACATTTATAGAGGCAGTCATATATGAGACTCATTCACAGTGGGTGGGTATGTCCGACTGTGCCAGTTCTGGTTTCTTTCCCACTTGGCGTTTGCCGTAAACTGTGCGCAAATTTCCACAACAGGTAAAAATCCGTTCTGCCGAGGCTGTTGCACCTTGTCTTTAAATTGCGCGGCCATTAGATTGAACTCGGAAATCAAAGGGTGTGAATACTATATATAATACTTTAGAGCACCGTTTGTTGAGACATATTCTATTTGGATTTTAAGTAAATGTTTATACTAGTTCATCAAGTAAAGAGATTCCACTCCAATGTCCAGTCCACTCTTGCAGTACGTTTGTCTGTTAAATAAAGAGCAAAGTACGTGGTATACATACTCTAACATATCCTTGTCGGGTAGAGTTGATCCTGATCAAGTATATCACCCGATTATTGTATGGTTCTCTACCAAACAGGATATATGAAGTTATCCCAAATCAAGGGAGCTCTGCACATATCTTGTGCCCAACTTAAATCAGTTATTTCCAACTCCAATTAAGATTTTTAACAGCTTTGCTTTTGCTGCTGAGTCAATTTTAATGGCATGCACTTTGAATATTCAATCGATATATATTTTTAAAATATTGTTTTCAGTTAATTACCATTGTACTTTCTGCTATCTTTTCATTATTTAATAATGAAAAAATAATAAAATGGGATTAAACTTGGTAGCTATTTTTATTATTGGGAAATTTTAAAGGTGAAATTTTTAGGGGCGTTATTCAAATGAGCCGCATTGTATATAGAGGATCCGGGCGCGAGTAGATGTGTCTGTATACCATACTTATAATAGTCAAATAAATATAATAATAATAATAATAATAATAATAATAATAATAATAATAATAATGATGATGATGATGATGATAATAATAATATTAATAATAATCAAAATAATCATAATAATAATAATGGTAATGATAATAATAGGATTATTTAGTTATATAATTGGAATCATGTCTCGGTCAATTGAGCTATGGTATGTCTCCGGTAATACTCCGGCTTTCCATCTGTTTCCTTTGTATCCGTACATTGAGTGCGCTCATGAGGGCACTCTGCAAAAATACAGCCTTGTCCTCGTTCTCCTCCGCATCCTCATTCTCGTCGGCGTCCACATCCTCACGGCCATCAATCGATGCATACAGCCCTTCAATTGTATTTGCGGACCCTGCGATTGGGTTCCGTTTTGCGCGTGACACCTGATGATATTTTACGATTATTGTTTTTGGATTTATGAAATGTAATTCCAATTGCAGCAGGTGCTCTCAGTGTTTGTGTAGCTGTTGCTGCTGTCCCTGTTGTCATTGTTGTTTTTGCAATTGTTGTTGTATCAATTTTGCAATCATCATTAAACGAAGGAAAACCGAAAATTCCATTAAATGTAAAAGCGCACAACACTATTTTTGCCGGCTTAGGGCTCAATTTACTAATTGCAGATTTGAATTTTGGACATTTGTGTGAAATGTGACAATTAGAATTGGCGAGAATTTATTAATAATAAATGAATATTATTTATGAGTGTTGTGGATAGATTTAAAGTCTAAAAAAAAAATACTTTTAAATTCATTTTTTTAATTTGAAATTTAACAAAATATGTTGTCATAAAATTAATATGAGAATTTTGAGCGCTTGTTTAAATTTATATCTTTTTGTTGTTGGTTTTGTTCTTGGGTTAGCTTTTATATAAGTATATATAATTTATATATAATTATATATTAGATACATAAACAACCCATGACGTTTATAGATCATCTCGTAGTCCACAAGGCGTTGTTTATTTAATCGCTTTCAATTATATCGTTCGTTTATTTAATATGATTTCCATTACGTTGCTTTTGCTTTGCTTTTTACTACTTTGTTTTTAAATTAAATGTAAAACTACAGTAAATGTGTGCGTGAGTGTGTGTGGGTTTCGTATGAAAGTGTGTGTGTGTGCGTGTATATGTGTGCACTTTAAATTTAGTTATCAATTATTTGCTGTAAAAATCATTTCCAACACTCGATAATTACAATGTTGAAAGCCAGAGCTGGCTCAGAGTCCAAATGGCTTGGCTACTCGGTCGTGGATCGGGATTCGCGCTCTGTCACTGTCAATGTCGCCCATCTCTCTCTCTCTCTCTCCCTCTCTTCGATTGGGCCGGATCCGGTCCTAATGCATCCACTGCTCAGCTGCTCATCTGTCGCTGGCGCTGCTTAATTTGCGGCTATCGTGCAGACGCAGCAACTGGGAAACCAGAACGTGTCCGTGTAGAGATTTTGGCCGTTGCCCTGCAGCGCAATTAAACGTTTTTGTACGAACTTCTGCTCGCACCTGGAGTTGTAACCATTGGGCAGATCGCACAGGTTTGAGCATGTGTTTGAGCTAAAATGGCAAGAAAATTATAACAACAACGACAGGAGGAGCAGGAAGATAAGGAGCAGGAGTAGTCGCGGAAACAGCGTCAAATGCAAAAAATCAACAAATGCAGAAAATTTAGTTGTGCGCTTTGCTCGTAAATAAAAAGAAGAAAAAAAAAAACAGAGAAGCGCCGGCTGCAAAGTTGAAAGTTTAACGAACTTGTTAAAACGGGAATCGTACGTAATTGATAAGGAGTTGAGCAACGGTACTCGGGCACTTGGAGTGCTGCATCCCGCCCAGCTGTTGCTCCTTGGCCACGATTTATGCGCCACAGCGCACAGCCACTCATTTGGTTAAACAAATTGCGAGCTAAGTACCCCGCATCACTCCAAGGGACAGGGTATAGGTATGGGCACAGGGCATATATGCAGGCAGTAGGGCAGGCGACAAGCGACAAACAATTAGGGCACGCATTGACCGACCCCAGAGGCAGCATCAGCAGTAGATGCAGCTCTCACACAAACACACTCTCTCTTTCTCACACACTCTACTCTCTCTTTCTCTTTCTCTGCACTGGCTACAGCTACTCGAATATGTATATGTACTTCATCAGGTCTCGTCACCCTATTTTTACCTCTGTTTGCGCTTTTTTTCCACTGCGCTGAAAGGTTCGAGTAGCGCACGCATAAGGGCATGAAGGGGACACATCCACAAGGCAGCACCGGCCGGCCGTTGGTAATCTTGGCTGTTTCGGGGTGTTATAATTCGTTTAGCCGCAATTATGACACAAAACATAACCGTGCACATACCCATACTAGTGCTTGCAGTTCTGCCCACGTGCCCATCATGCCGTAGGGTTCCCCTAACTAACCCAACAGCATAAGTATTTACCGAAAAGGGGAACACTTATTGATATGGAACTGAGCTGACGCTATCCTGCTGTGTGTGAGTGTGTGTGTGTGTGTGTGTGTGTGACGGCGGGAGAGGGGAACTTTGCGCTGATTGCAAGTGTTGTGTGTTGTTTAAATTAATTGTAAAAAAAAAACAGCACTAGTCAATAGGGCATAAAAATTGACATTGAGAAGATGAGATGCTCAATTTAGTAGTAAAGAAATGTTTGGATACTTTGTAAGAAAATTGAGCGAAAATAAATAATTAGCAGTCAGAATAATATTTGTTAAATCATATCAATTAGTAAACGTTAGGTATTTAAAGTATAATATTCAAATTATCTGTCTATAGGAATACAGAAGAGATAACAAGAATTTGGTAATACAATTTGAGTATATCCTCAAAAAATCCTCTTCATTCCTTTTGTTATATAAATATTGCAAAACTTAGCAAAATTACCTGAATTGATATACGAAAATTGAGCGAAACCAGCCAATTACGAATCGGATCAATATTTGTTACATACCAATAAGAAAATTTGAATTATTTAAGTTAAAATATTAAAATTGATGTTTTAAATGATGATTTGAGCCACCCTAATGTCATAGCAAGCAGTGCGCAAGCAGTGCACAGCCAAACGCAGCTCGCTGCTTTAATGTTCAGCTTGGACACAAACCACAGTCAAAGAAGGCGAAGTAACGAAAAACGCGCGCAAAACGCCTGAATTGTCAAATGCATACAGTTATAGCTATTAACTTTAGTTTAAAGTATTTGCTTGATAAAAGATTATTTGGAACTCACTCTTTTCGGGCATACTTACGCACAGAGCTCCGCCTTGACCATCTGACGAGCGGTGTTCTCCTCGTTGACCACGAACATCCAATTGCCGCGGGAATTGAGAGCCGCTTGTGGCGTTATGAACTGCGATGTTGTCTCGCAGAGCGTTGAGCGCGACGGATTTTGTCGCTTGGTGCGAGATTTTTTCTTATTGTTGTCGCTGATGCCCACAATATCTAAGAGATCCATATTGAGCGATACATCGCGCGTGCTGCGCTTCTGCTGCTCATGCTCCTTCCCCTTTACACTCTCCTCCTGGCCAGCTGCCTGCTCTGCTTCCACAGCCTGCTCTTCTACTGGCTGCTGTTGCTCTGCCTGCTCCGCTGCCGCCTGTGTGGCCTTCTGCTTGATACTCAGATCGCGCACCAGTCGCTTCAGCCAGAGCGTGGCATTGTAGGGCGTTCTGGCCAGGTTGTTGAGGAACAGATGCGTCATGCCCGATGCAGAGTGTCCTCCAGTCTGCTGGTTGCCCGCACGCTGGCCAGCGCCCGCTGCCGCCGAGGTGTACAACAGGTAGCTGAAGCGTATAAGAAAGTTAGGATTGTTTGGAGAGGAGAGCTACTTCAGTTACTCACGTTGGCGCATCCGTTGTGGGGTTGGGGGCAAAGAGAGAGTTGCCCGCCCCACGCTGTGGCACGTTGCCAAACGGCGTCTGATAGCTGTAACCATTGAAGTCTTGCCCATTGGCAAAGTCACGCTGCGGAAATATAGACTTTGGATCATAGAATACGGGCGTGTCGGACCACGCAACGGCTGAGAATTCATCCCAGGTCTCGTCGACCAGCAAAGAGGCCGCCTCGTAGCCCCATTTACGTACGAGACTCTTGATGAGATATCTGAAAAAAAAGTCAAGACAATGAGTTGAGCTTATTGTGAGCCGCTCGTTGCCCAGGTGATGCAAGAGATTATTTTGTGTAGATTAGTTACTGCTGTTGCCTGGGAATGTGCTGCGAAAGTGGAATATCATGCCACTTGTCGACATCGCCCAATTGGCTTGTGTAACAAGCAAATAAACAGACAGGCGGACGGACGGAGGTAGGGAGGGACGGGCGGTCGGGCAAGTGCTCGAAATTGCGCCACGCCCCTCAGAGAGCTGTTAAATCATAATTAATATGCAGCCAGACAATATGTTGGGGTAAATACGAGTCTGAGTAATGCATATAACACAACTGCTCGTGTTGATGTCTTCAACACTTAACCTCTTCTTCGTCTTCTTTGTCTTCTTAACAGCTGCAACGCATGCGTGTCACGTGCCGCATTATGAGGTGAAAACGGGCCCTGGCTTTTCCACATACGAAATGTCTTTTATATATATTTTTTTAGAATTATGCAATATCCAAATTCCGTAGGCCTCGTAAAAATGACTACTTAATTGGTGAGTCGGCGCCGAATTGCGGCCTTACTTGGCGTCCGCCTTATCATTATGATTACCATAATCATTATCATTATCATTATCATTGCGTGTAGTGGCAACAGCTAACGCACATTTTATTTAAATCGAAGAAATTGTCTAAAAATAGCAACACAAATGGAAAACCACACAGAAAAAAAAAACACATAGCAATCCATATATAAATGAGCTAATGAGAAAATATTGAAGTTGCAATCAACGAAGTTTAAATACACTAACAAACTGACAATGGGCTCTAATATTGGCTAGATTATTAGCTTGATGAATAAAGAGCTTTCAAAGGACTTTACAAGATGTACGCCTGAATTTGCAACTTTTAAAAACTAAAAACAATTCATTACTCAATTTAAAGAAATATTAAGTAAAAATCGATTACATATATTAAATCTTAAATAAAATTATAAAAGCAAAGAAAGTTCGAAGAATTATAAAAGATCGTCTAATAAGGCTTCTTCAGAACAAATCCTAAAATTAGTATGATGACAGTTATAAAGAAATTATAGGTTTTAGATCTAATAAAATCTTAATACAAGCAATTCATCCATAATAATAAAAAATAAATTATAATATAATCTGAATAAATAAAATAAAAAATTGATTGCTAAAATTTGATTAAAATACTGAAACATTTTACATATATTCATTTTCATATTCTTGTCTTCAGCTCAATCTCAAGAGATGTTCTAGGAAGAAGTGATTTTCTAGTTAAATATTTATGTAAGCACGAATTCCTCCTAAGTTAAAAATGCAACATGTGTTTCAATCTAACGTTCCCGCAAGAGAACAAGAAATTTTTTCGGTTAGAACTTTTGGTTTTTCCTATGTTTAACTACGTGTATATTTAGTTATTTATACCCTTAGAAAGAGCATAGAAATGGTTAATTATTCAAAGAGGCATTCATAAATATTCGAGAAGCACGCGGCGCGTCGCGACAGACAAAGTGTCTTGAACTGTCAATTCAAGTTTATTGGGTCAAGGAGCTCCGCCAGCTGGTCGAGCAGCAACAGCAACATCTTCGAGTACGTGCGTTGTCGTCGCGGAAACAGCAGCAGCCAAATGCCAGCAGTCAGCAATCAGCAGTCGGCAGTCGGCAACTAGCAACTAGCAGGTAACAGGTCTACAGGTCTATAGGTCTATTGGTATACGGGTATTCGGGTATCTATGACAATAGATACGCGTGTTGTATATGCAAAAACTTGTTTCTGGTTTCGGCAGCTCGATTTGAGACTTTGATTCGAATTGATTTGGATACAACGACAAACATTTGTTTGAAATGCATTTGTTTGTTAGCAATCGCTGTTGTTGTTGCTGCTGCTTGACTTTGGAGCTGGCACATTAAGTGTATTATTTATGCTGACATTGTGGCCATTAGCCGGCAACGCGTTCAACTTACGTGGGATAGTTAGCGACATGCTCGCAGTAGGTTTTGCCGGGCCTGGCACAGCTGTGACAGAAAGAGAGAGAGAGAGAGAGAGAGAGAGAGAGAGGGAGTATGAGAATCCGTAGATGGATCAGTTTTGTGTCTTATTGGCCAACAAACTTACTTGGGCGTCTGTCCCGGCGGCGCTGGCAGATACTGGCATGGCGGCGCACCATATAAGCCGCATGATGGCGGCGTGCTGAATGCTGCGGAAATACAAGCTAATATCTGCAAGAGTTGAATACACATATATTTAGACTGTGAATGAGTGTGAATGAATGCTTGCTGTACTCACCACATGGCTAAGGAGTATACCACTAAAACTACTAGAAGTGCGGAGACGGAGTCGGAGACGTTTAATACTCTTTGTCATTGTCAATTCATTCGTCGTTGGGCTTTCGGGATTTGCATTTGCATTTGCGTTTCCGTTGCCTGAGATACACACAAACACACAAACAGTTGAGTTGAGTTGAGAGCTGAATTTCGTTTGGCAGCGGCGCGTTGTCAGTTTTGGCTGATGAGCTGAAAGTGAGCGCCGGCAATGGTCGTTGGAGAAATTGCAATAAATCACTTGATTATGTACGGAATCGATTATACTAGATAAACACCTTATACTTGTATTATTTGCCTAAAGATTATACAATTAACTTGATTTACGAGTGTGCTCGCGCACTTAGCTTGGGCTGAATGCGAATAAGCACAGATGTATATATATATATATTATATGTACTTAAAAGCTTTGTTTGTATTTTAGCTAATTATAATTATTGATTGTTTAACGCATTTTGTTTAGGGCATGTTTTGTAGGTGGTATTTAAATTTAATAACTAAATGAAAAGAGACATTTCGGAACGCATAAAGTGTATTTATCCTACATCAACAGCCGATTTGATAAGTCCATTTATTTCAAGGACATTTCCAAGCCCATAAAGTACATAAGTTCTGTATCTACAGTCTAGTTTGATATGTACGTCTATTTCTTGGCTTTAACGCTATCGTCATAAGATTTTGACTTCTGTTACGGGCAGTTAATATGAATATGAATTTAATATTTCTAATACATTTTTGATCTGGAAGATATGCTTAGTCTATATAATATTGCGTGTGCTTAGATCTTTCAGCTAGACAACCTTATCCAGCATCTCTGCCTTAGTCACTTCAGCTATGTTTTTTCAGACAAATTTTAACAATAGTTTATTTCATTTTCCCCTTTTAATTGTCTTTTATGTATCAAGTACTGATTCATGCCTATTTGTTCAAAATACCCCTTAAAGAACTCGACTAGTTCAACCGTAAATTATGCAATTGAAACTCAGAGCGTTACATTTTGATTTCATAATATTTCGCAGCTCAAAGCTAAAACTGTAAGTGAAAACCCCAACGACATTTGTTCTGCACACAGCAATGAAAAGTGCTCAAAAAGTGTTTTCCATACAAATAGTCGTAGCTGCGTTTGGCACCACAAAGCGCTAATTAAGTTGGGGCCGGGTCGGGCGACTTGTTGCGGCCAAATGGAGTTCAGTTTCAGGTTGTCGCGAGTCAAGTCAAACAATCAACAAGAAAACCATCAACAATGAGCGCTGCGTAAATTGCGAAAATAAATTGCTAAAAGTGAAAGTGACTCCAAATCCACTAAAGCTGCTGCCCGCAAAGTCATAAACTCCATTTGGCCAGCTGTGTGGGTTAGCTTGCGAGCACCATAGACAATGCTGGCCCATGGGCCACGCCCACAGTCCGCAATTGCAATTAATTACTTGGCAAACCAGCGAGTGGGCGTTTCATTGGGCTTCATAAATGGTAGCCGCCTGTCGACTAATGTCAATATTTATAAATTTATTCAACTGCTAGAACATGTATCTAAACATGCAAGATGAATATATTGAAAGCTGATTCCGGAACTCTTTTTATTATGAAATTAAAAATGGTTAAGATCATTGAGAGAAATGGATTAGAATTCCGTGACAAATCCCAACCGAACCGAATTGAAAATTTAAAAATGATTTTATAATCCAGGGTATGAACCAGTTTAATTAACCGCAACTAAGGATTGGAAGTTGGTTCGCACCGCGAACCGAAGCAACAACTAATTTTTGTGGTCTTACAGCCTTAATTAATGTACAAGCAAGCTGTTTATTGGCATGTAATTGCATGCATGCTATGCGCTTTGCGAGGAACAGCGATCTTTGGCATGCTTGAAGGTCTATAACATTATCACTTATCCATAGGATATTACCATATAACCATAACACATGTATCTATTTGCATCAGTTGACTTCAAACAATTTCGGCTTTTTCTGAATATTAAAAGACAATTGTCAATTTTGCCATTAAAATGTTGTTATATAATAAAATACTATTTATTACCCCAAATCTATCAAAAAATATCAGTTTATGCTGTTGCATAATGTAATTGGCATTTGGTGCAATTAAATCGAAGTAGTTAGAAGCTTACCCTTCACTTAATGGTTGGATAAAGTTGCCTGATAAAGGACGCTCTGAACCTTTACAATTTACACGCATTATAAGTATTAACTAGCCGAATAGGATTTGTTGTTTGCAGTTTGTGCTTATGATGTTAACTGTCTGCTTTTTCAGACTTGTTTAAAAGTTCCTTCTGTTCATAAGTTCTCAAATGTTCTATTTAGAATTTAAACTGTTATTTTTATAGTTGGGCATTTCCCCAATTAAGTTTGCATGTTCTACAAAAATAGAATTTCAAATTATAATTCAAAATCGGATAAAACAACCAAAACACGTTATTAATATTAACAAAAACAACAAAATGTAACTCCCAAGTTTTGTTTTTTTTTTTTTTTTGTATAGAAATAACCGTTACTAATTCAACGGCTACCGCAAATAAAAATGATAATCATAATGTGTATAAATACATAAAATGCTGAAATGCTGTTCAAATCAAGAGCAAAGCACACAATACGATATCAGAAACCGGATTTCGTGACAAGCGTATCTCAGTGCCAAGTGTTATAGTTCCATAGGTAAAAATCATAGAAAAAAACAAACTACAATTAGATTCGGACTTCAGGTAACAACAACAATAACAGAGTCAAGTCATGCCATGAAAATGAAATAATTTCAATAGAACTTGCGTCCGAGTTGTTCTTTAACACTGACACCTGCGGCTGAGCTGAGGCTGGGTTAGGATTTCCGGGATCTGGCCTGGTGGAGCATGGTCAAAGCATGTGGAGGTTGTCACTTTCGATTTCATAAATCAATCAACTTTGGCAACACAATACACAAAAGCCAGCCATAACAAAAGCCCATAAAACTGAATGCGCAAATGAGCTTGACAGCGGCGGCATTTTAGCCATTTTGGAGATTTCGGAGATTTTGGCCATTTGGGCCATTTAGCGACATTGTCGCCATCATTGGCATCTGCTAATGGAGTCGCCTCGGCCAGGCATGGCTGGAGTCTCGGCTCTAGCACATAGTTACGCCCACGCTCTTGGCATTTCCCATGTTGCGCAGGCGCCGCCGACCACGGCCAGTTCATCAGCTCATAAATCATAAACAAAAGAGTTGTTCGCTCTGTTGTCGTTGTTGTTGCTGTTTTGGCTTTTGGCTGCTGTTCAAAATGTTTTACGGCCTATTGAGCATTTGGCCATTTGCACGGCATTAAGTCATTTGGCCGAAAATGCACCGAAACAACAGTCGAAAACGATTTCGCACTGACAATTAACACATTTCAAATTGATCAATTGTCAAGTCGTTTAAATTGACTGCAATGTGTTTCAAATGATTTGTCTAATTACTTTTGCTGTATATTTTAAGCTTTTATTTTAATGACTTGTCCAGTTTATTGCCTTATTTATTTGTTATAGGAGCGATTGTAAAAGTAAATTGTTGGGGTTTTAGATTGGCATCAAACTATATATATATATATATATATATCCGAAGCGCGAGAATAACAAGGGCTAGAGCCAAAAGCATTAAGCAAAATCAAATATTGAGCTTTTTTTTATTATTTCTCGAATCAATTGACCAACGAGGTCGTGCGACTTAACACATTTTCCTTGTGGTTACGTGAAGTGATCTTAGACAACTTGTAAAACAACATACCTGACATCACAACGGCCGCAAGCTTGGAAATTGGGTTTCCAGATTGTGCCATATGCGAACCGCATGCCCGTCATTATATTTAAACATTATCGAATTGTCCCTCTAGCAAAGCCACTTTTCAGATTGCGAATTGATCGGAAACAAAACATATTAAATCAAAAATTTTTTTCATGTTTTTTTCAAATAAATAAAGCCCCGGACCTCAAATTAGCTAACGTAATATTATTTTGTAATATATTTCATATGCTTCTAGACATGGGCATCCTTTAAAGCAATCTACATACAACATTTGTTATTTCTAGATATATTTATTTCCGAGTTAAGAAAGCCTTGGCTTAAAATGTATATTAACTAATATTGAGAATTTGTTTAATGTATACATACTCTCTCTATACATTTTATGTTTGAGACAGACAGTCAGATAGACGGTGGGATATTCAGAAGCTAGATCGACTCAGCTTATCGTTTTTTCGGTTGAAGACAGTTTGTTCTAGTCGTTAGACACATTTGCACAAAACATGAATAAAAATATTTTTTCTAAACATTTAAAATCTTATATACATACGATATTTCATATCTCTAAAACAGGCATCAAGTTGCGTCTACTTTTTCTTTCTTGAAAAACAAAATTACATTAATAAGTTTTGCCGATAAAAAAATGTTTTAAAATAAGGTAAATGAATTAAATAATAAATCCATTCAAAAGGATAAATAAAAAAAAAACGTATTCAAAACCATTTTCTAAAGCAAGTTTGATAACTTAAATAAAAAATTGATCACTCGACTGAAAAGCTTTGTACAAAGCTTATTTTTAAAATAAGTTTGAAGGTAAAATAAAATAAAATAATTTGTCCACCGATTTTCCAACTAAATGATGGATTTTCTCAACTAAATGACGCACACTTTTTAGATTTAATAATGCATCAATAAGTATTCCAATGACCCTTTTTTATAATTGTCGAAATAAACTAATAAAATGTTTTAATAGGACGAAATGGATATATGGGACTCAACTCTCGTGAGTAGCTTGATTCATGGGTAATTCGCCGGAACTGCAAGTTGAGCTACTCGTTTTTTATTTTTTTGAAATTGTTAAATAACAAATAACAAGTTCGCAATAAAATGCACATAAAACTGAAGAAAAAAGACGATTAATTGCTGATATGTTTATGCCCTTGTAGAGGGAACAACAATTTTGGATTGAGGTTTCTATTTTGGCTGCTTTTCAGTTTCGGCTCGCGGCTGCTTAAAGCTGACAATCTTCTAAGGAAGTGAGGAATAGAAATCATGCAGTCAGATCTAATGAACGGAATGTTGAATATAACACTTGCATGTTAGTTGCCAAGACGTCCTCCCACATCCAATCTCGCCCACTCCCACTGCGTCTGGCCGTGTCGCTTGTCTTAATCAATTAGTTTGGCTTTCACCTATTAATTTATATCTCAATAAAAATGATTTAACTTAATTTGGCACTAATTTGGCAGCATTCACCAATACATACACATGCACACACAAATGCACATGTGTAGT